TTCTCATTTCACTGTTGTGAAAGATTGTTTGAAACTTTATATTAAAGAGAAGGAAAGATTAAAGAGAGCTCTTTAGGGTTAATGATTATGCTTAACAACAGATACATGAACATCAATCCAAAACATTAACTATATGTCCTTAATGGCTCATTGGATTGATAATTAGTATTTGTATTTTTGAATTTTTATCAAATTTCCAATCATATAGGTGAGACAATTAGTCAAGTTATTGAGAATTATTTGTTAGATTGGGGGATTGATAAACTTTTAACTGTTACAGTAGACAATGCAAGATTTAATAGTGTTACTATTTTTTATTTAAAACATATGATGAAAGATTGACTAACTAATATATTATCATATGAACATTTGCATGTTAGATGTTGTGCACACATTGTAAACCTCCTTGTATGTGATTGTTTAAAAAAGATTAATGTTTTAGTTGTGAAGATTCAAAATACAATTAGGTTTGTGAGATCTTCACCTTCTAAGCTACTTGCATTTAAGAATTGTGTAGAAAAGTTGCATATGAAGTGTAAGAAATCCTTGTGTTTGGATGTTGCAACTCGATGGAATTCAACTTATCTTATATTAGAAGCTGCTGAAAAGTTTGAAAAGGTATTTGTGAGGTTAGGTTAAAGTGAACCTAGGTATATAAGTTACTTTTTAGAGGTTCATTCAAAAAGGAATAAAAAAAACCAGGCCACCTAGTTTGGAGGATTAGAAAAATGCTAGAACTTTATTGAAGTTTTTAAAAATCTTTTACATGGTTACATTGAGATTTTCTGGCTTATTATATGTCACATCAAATTCTTTCTTCAATGAATTTATTTATATGCATACAAACTTATTACAATTATGTAAAAATAAAGATAATTTTTTAAGTGAAATGGCAATGAACATGATTAGGACGTTTAAGAAGTATTGGGATTGTGAAGCAAATCATAATTTTTTATTGTATGTGACTAATATTTTGGATCCATGTCTTAAGTTGAAATATGTAGAATTTTATTTTGGTAAGTTGTATGATTATGACAAAGCACAATTATTAATAAAAAAAAAAGGTGAAAGATAATTTGGTGAGTTTATATGAGTTTTATTTGAAAGCAGATAAAGTGGTGGATGATAATAGACATAAACAAGATATTAATAATGTTATTAATGACATAGAGGTAAATGTTAACACTTTAGCTCGATTCAAAAGACATTTACCGGAGGAAGATAGTGTGGAAAATAGATATAAAGTTGAAAGGTATTTGGTTAATAGTTGTAAGGATCCTAATGATAATAAATTATATATTTTTGGTTAGTGAAAGATTAATGTTTTAAAATATAAGATACTTTTGAAAGTTGCACAATATATTCTAGTTATTCTTATATCCACAATGGCTTCTGAGTCAGCCTTTACCACAGGCGGTTGTATACTTGATCAATGTTGAAGTTCTCTATCTCTAGCAATGGTTCAAGCACTTATTTGTTGTCAAGATTGGTTACATCATGGACTAATTCCAATGGATAATAGAATCTTGATGAATGATTTTGAAACCTATAAAAGTCTTGATTCAATTAATGTTTCTTAAAAACTTACATTTTTTATTTTATGATTTATTAATTAACACATTTTTATTCTAACATATTTAATTTTTTATTTTGTAGAATTTGGTGGAAAGTTGCATCTAGCAACGGATGATAATTAGTTCACAAATTATAATGCATTTATTGAAAATGTATGGTAAAAATACTATTTTTTATTTTTATATCTTCTAATTTAATTTATCATGTTATAATTCTAGATTTTGAATTTCAGGAATCAAAGTGCAATATTCTTAATGTGCTTTTTTATTGAGATAATGTTCAAATGAAAATTTATATTTTTGGTTTAGAGTGTTTTATGATAATGTTATTTGTTATTTTTTAAAATCCTTTAAAGGCAATGATTTGTCATTTGAATTTTAACTTTTTGGTGTGTGACTATGTGTTATTTGAACTTTTCTAAAGCAGAAAAACATTAGAAAGGTAAAAAATATATTGAACACAAGATTGACATTAATAATTTAATATAAATGAATATTCAATGGCCAAAAAACTTAATAAACATAAGATTGACAATAACAATTTAATATAAATGAATATTTATTGGTAAAAAAATTAAATATACTTTGGAATCTTCAAAGAAAATTAGACAATATCAATGTTAATTTTAAGCACATCAGAAATCCTTTAAAAACCCATTACAAAGCAAAAAAAAAAAAAAAAAGCATATAGGTTTTTTCAGTTTTGGGCATAAAAAACCAAACCGATCACCCTAGTTCAAACACAAAGAACCCTAACAAGTTCTGTTATTTTCATCATGATCATGGACATGACATAGAAAAGTGTCATGCACTCATAAAAGAGAAAGAAAAATTGATCTCTAAATGGCACCTTTAAGAATTTACAATGGAGTAGATATAATATGAATAAACAGTAAACAATTCTTGTGATGTACTACCTAAGATAAGATAAATCTCATAAATTATATCTCCATCATCACTTGAAATTTTTTTTTTTAAAAGTGTATCTCCATGTCTTTAAACCCAAAAAGTCTTCATGAAATTTCCATGAAGAAGTTTCCATTAATCTCGATTATGTTGCCAAGTCCCTCTGACCAATTTTCTTTAGGTCTCCATGACTAATTTTCTCTAGGTTTTAGTGACTACCGTCTTTGAATTGCTATGACCAACTATCTTTATATCCTTGTAACCAACTTTCTCCATATCCATGCTATTATGCCTCCAAAAAGATCATGGATCTATTTTCACAAAACATTGATAATATCTCTCATAAATTCAAAAAAACAAGCAAATATTCAAAGTCAAGTCTAGGTATCATTTTTATACAAGCATACATTATAAGTATTTTCTTTCCTTTTCTAGCTTGTTAAAGTCTTCTAGACATCTATGTTTATAAGAATTTAAGGGAAAATGATAATACAAAAAAAATAGAGGTATACTGAAATTTGGTTGGGCTATGGTCCAACCTGGCTATTTTAGCTTAGTTAGGCCATAGTCCAACCAAGCTATTTTGGCTCGTCACGACCCAATCAAGTTACCCCTCCTCTTTCCCACATGTTTTTTCTTTCTTTTATTTTGATTATGTTTAACTGAGCTTAAGCTTTGGTCTGATCGAGCTAACTTACCTCGGATTGCAATTCATAAATAATAATAATTATGAATAGTTACATATTTTTTTCAAGACTATATATTCTTAAATTTTGAAAAAAAATTATTATTCATCAAAACAATAATATACGGATAATATTTTCTATGAGACATGTAGCACATATTTTTTTCTCTATAAATAAAAAAATATTATTTTTATCTTTTTAAATTTTCAACTCTTATCACTTAAGAACAAAATTTAAATATCTACTTAAACATTAAAATATCTTTTATTTTATATAAAAAAATTTGTGTTATAGATATAACACAAGCTCATCATCTCAATATTATTATTCGAAGTTTTTCCACTTACTTGTTAAGTAATGTCAAGGACAGTGACAAGGCATCCACCAACCCCATTGTTTATTGCTAAAGCAACCTTTCAAAGTCGATTTCCACATGCGTTTATGGTAATTATCTATCGACCATGGGTTCTTTTAAATCGGATTTTTTTATAAAATAAATAGTCAATTGCATGTCCTGTCTTCTTAATGACCAAAAGACAACTTCGATGGTTCGATTTGTTATCATAATGAAGTATTTTTTAATATGTTTTAATATATTTATTTAAATCAATGCTATCCTTTCATACATGTTAATTAAGTTTCTAATCTATCATTTAGGCAAGGTTTTTAAACTTATTTATCAAAGTCAATCACGTAATTTACACCCATTAACAAGTTTATATTTGAATATATGTTAAGTTTTCATGTCACATGCATTGAGGGGTAAGAAAACTACATGCTAAACAATTAGGATTGTTTCTAGAAAGTATTGAAAAAAACAAAAACAGACTACATTAAAAAAGGACATGCAAAAATCACATCAGTCTCGTAGGTTAGATGCTGCCTGTGGTTTGAATTTTTTTAAGAAATATGATATTCCCTCCTGTCATAACTAATGCTAAGATTGACTTTCACAATATCTGACAACTAAACTAGAGAACCAATAACAACTCGCTCTGGTAAACCAAAGGAAAGAGAGTGACTGTTTCTGGAGGGAATTGTTGGAGCATATAACTATTCATACTTCATTTTCATGAATCTACCCCTCCACTGTACGATTCAAATATTATTTATTTTAAATTATTCATTTCTAAATTTATTTTCTAAAATTTCCCGGTTTAAGTTTCATAAACTTATATGATCATTAATTATAAAACCGTAAAATTAATTAAGGTGTGCTCAAACTAACCTACACATTTACATTAACATACATTATATATATATATATATAAATCTTTATATGAAATTTATATATAAATATACGTGATGATGGTGGATCTGTATAAGTTCTTTTGGATAAAAGAATTATTTGATGGGATTAACAAAAAAGAAGTGGAGGGGGGGTGGGGGTTGCATCTTGATTGAATGCATACCAGGATTTAATCTTTTTATTTAGATTTTCTAGAGTCTCTGTAGAATCTTGTTTTGCACCTAAACCGTTGGCATGGTGATCGGGGGAGAAACGTCAGACCTGCTACTCCCATTTGCTAAGGATGATCGCATGCTCGGAGAGCCGCACACATTGAATAAGACACGGACACGCTATTAATTTTGACTTCTCAATTGGCAAGCCACCAAACCAAACCAAACCAAAATCAAAACTATAACATCCTTTCCAACTTGTGATTTGCCTACTTTTCACGATTAGGGTCGGCTAATTCATCCTCGATTAACGAACCGAGTCTATTGTTTAATGTTTGATTTGTTGACACCGTGTTTTTGTTTCATAGACTTCTTCAGTTTTGACCTTACGATTCTCAAATCAAAAATGGTAAAGTTTTCTAGCACTAATGACAGATGAGCTCCAGTTCGGTCGATTTCTCTAGCACAGAGTTGTTTACTGTATAACATATCATCTGCTAGCTGTCAGCATTTCCATGAAGAATTTTCAAAGGCCCGACGTTTATCTAACAAAACTTCATTGACCAGAACATTTATCCTCCTACCGTTATCCACTAGTGCCAGTTATATGGTCGCTATAAATATAGGTTGTTCCGTGACATTTCAAGCATCAAATCGCACTTCCATATCGACGACGTTTTATCTGTGATAGTTTAAGTAGAGCACTGCTAGGAGAGAAGAAAAAAGTTATGGAAGGTTTGATTCCATTTCTTATCCATTCAATCAGGAAACAGAAGCCTCAGAACAGCTACAGGTCTCTCTCCATGGGGTCGAGCCGTGGCTACCATTTGTTGATGGGAGGTGAAGGGGAGTCGGTTAATGGTTCATCTCATCGACGAACCAGGTCAGACTACCAGCCACCACCCATGGAGTCTTTGGAGCTGCGGACCAATTTAGATTTTCTCCGATCTGGGAGCTTGAGGAAACGTTCAGTGAACTCTCCCTCAATGACTGGCGGCTCGAAGTTTGATGCATATCCTCATCAAATGGGCAAGCAAGCGAACAACAAAGCTAATATTCGACAATAAGAGATTCGAAGTATCGAAGATGACTGGACAGTATTGTTCTTGATTCTTTTGTATTATTACTTTATATCATGTTCTTCTGTACTTTGTTGCAAGATAATTGCGTATCCGAAAGGGAAAAAAAGGGAAATTGTAAATTAATTTCATAATAATAATATACTTTGATTCCAAAACCGAGTTAACTAGGTGTTTATTAGGAAACATATACACAGCTATGCTATTGTTTGGAATTGTGTTCTAAACGAGGATGGAGTAAAATTTAAAAAAATTTATGTTTTTAAATTATTTTGATATGTTAATATTAAAAATATTTTTTAAAAAATAAAAAATATTATTTTAATATATTTAAAAAAAACATTTCAAAAAAATAACTATAATTAATTTTTCAAATACCCTTTTCTTTTACGACATAGTTAAAACATGTTATTTTTTTGAAAATCTGGGATGTAATACAACTTCTGTATGTATATATATATATATATATATTTGTTCTTTAAGGATGTAAATGATCCGTATTAAAATAAATAAACAAAATGTAACCTATACACATTAGTTTTCTTAATCGAGATCCTAATAAGAGCGTTAAAATTATTTTTTTATTTTTTTTTAAATTAACGTGGGTGTCCGGGCCAGCTTACGTGCACCACGACTAATTCCACGGGCCCTGAAGTTAACGACCATGTAAGCCTCCAGTGGCCATTATATGAGCAACCAAGGACTCGAATCTGAGACCATAGAGGGAGCAAACCTCTTGATCCCAAGTCCTTACCACTTGACCACCACCTAGATGGTTGCGTTAAAATCACTTTTCATTTCCTTTAAGGATGTTAATTGATTATTACCATCAATATCATATGACATTAGTTAATTCTATATCACATGTTAAAATATGCAGAAACTGTTGTAAGAACATGACGATGCTATACAGTAGGAAGAGTCAAAATTATACCATGTAACATCCCTGAGTGTCGGATATGGCTCTAAAAATTGATGATGCTCCCACGAACTTTTCTTGGACCTTGGTTTTCTTCGCGAATAATTCTGTGCTATAGAGACAGACATTGGTGTTTCCTGTAAATCAACACTTTACTGGCTAAGTCAGTATAATCTTTGAAGGATGTTTTCTTTTATATCATAAAATATATAAAGAGTAATTTCAAATGTGTAATTGTGAATAAGAAACCTCATCTCTTCTTCGTCTTATCTTGTCTATGGAGTTGAAAAAATATCAAAAGGTGACGTATTCATCAAGCCATCACAGTTGTGTGGCGTAGGATATCTTCAATATAAGTGTAGTTGACATGGCTAATAATAAAGGAAAGAGAAATAGAGAGAAGAAAAGGAAGGAGAGGACTGAAAAGTTCATTAATACTAGAGCATTTGTTTACGTGGCTGCTTGTTATCACAAAAATAAACTATTTGGTTACGTTTAAACACAATTTGCTGTTTGTGGGACTCATTCCTATTCTGCGTTTAAATCGCAGGATAACAAAAAGCGTCTTCAAGTTGTTGCTTGAAAAATGATGCTGAGGAAGGGCTGGTTAACCAATGTTGCCTCCTCTCCTCTGTTCTTTATCTAGTTTTCCTTTTTCTTTTGCTTTTTGGATTCTCTCCTCTTCTGCTTCTCTCTCTGGTTTGGGGAGAAGTTGAAGACGATGTCCCTAGCTACTTCCTATTCTTTTTTTTTTTCTTTTATATTTTACTTTCTTTTGGTCTCCTCTGTTTTCGTCTCTCTTTATACATGTTTCTTGTTGTAAACAGAGGTGCGACCTAAAAAAGAGAAAAGTAGAATAAAAACAAAGGAAAAATAAAAAGGATCGCCATCCATCAACCAAGTAGCTCTCTCAATTCATCATTTGTCAAATACTATTGTCGCGCCGGGTAGCCTACTATTCCCTTTTTTCTTTTTTTTTTCAGGTGTATTTCCTTATTTCCACTATTCTGTAATGTGGATAGTGAAGGGCGTCTCCACTAGCCTTTTTTTCCCTTCTCATTCCCTTTTTTTTCTTGTAAATAGAGGCCAAAAGAAAGAGAGAACTAAGAAGGTCTATCATCCATCAACCAAGCAGCTCCCTTAATTCATCATTGGCCTCTGTCATTTTGAACACCAATTAGACATCGCCGCTGCTCAAGGTAGCCTGCTCTTACCCTTCTCCTTCTCTTTCTTCTTCTTCTGCTGCTTCTCTATCTCCATTGTTCTGCAAAATAAACAGTAAATAGCGTCTTCATTGTTCATGGAGCACACCTGGTCTGACTCAAATCTAAAAGTATTAAACTAAGTTTAACCTAGTAAAACAATCCAAGAAAATTCCTTTAATATTATATTTTATTTAAAAAATTAGTGTTTAACATTATTTAATAACACTACATAATTATATTAGGAGGAGGTCACATAATAACATAACATTTGCAGAATTTGATCGCAATCCTAAATTTGTTCCTAATGATGTTTTATCTGATCTTGTCAAACACTCAAAAAACCATGAAAACTATAGCCTTTGTCGGATGAATTTCATACGTGATGAAATTGTAGAAAGTTTAATAAAAAAATAAAAAATATTTTATATAAAATATTATTTATTTTATGATGTAATACTAGTAGTTAAATCTACAATATTTCATTTAAAAACCATCAATATTAATAGAAGTTTTTTTTAGTTATTTTATAATCTTAATTTAAAAAATATTATTAACCAAACACATTAAACTACTTTTTGTTCAATCTCAATTTTAACTATAGTTTTAACTAACAATATATTTTACCAAATTAATCTCAACTAAAAGTGTTTTTTATAAAATAATTTTTTTCAAGTTACAACCACAAAAACTACTACAATATCAAACACACTTTTGAGTGGAGCAAACCATTGGTGGGCTCGACTAAGTTTGATTTGATCAAGTCAAACTGAATCCTAAACTTAGTTGGAGTCGGTGTAACTTAATTGTTGTCAAATCAAGTTGATCAAATTAAGCAATAAAATAGGCTCGATTGGAATTGATTTGATCAAAGTCAAACAAAGTTTGAAATAGTCAAATCGAGCCCTAAATATGCCTAGATATGCCTAGATAAGCTTTGTTTGATCATGACCAAACTAGTTTTAAAGTAGAGCTTAGTTTGACCATGGTCAAATAGAGCTTAGGGGTTGAAACCAAGCTCAAAATAAGCTCAATTAAACTCAATTAATAATAATTAAATTATGATTAAATTAAGCTTGTAGGAGTCAAATCAAAACTAAAAGATTCAAAACTAGCTTATGAGATTACCTCAAACTTATTCTACACTTCTTCTTCTTTTATTGAACTATATCATAAAAAATATTTTTAAAATATCTATTATTTCATTTTTTGAGCAATATCTAATTCATTTTTTTTTATAATGTATATGATATTAAAATTATTAAATATCATTTCATCCACACAGCTTGTGTTATAAATTAAATGGGTTAAACTTGTCAATCTAAAATTACATTATTTAAAAAAAAAAATCCAGATTTTAACCAAGTTGAATAAATTATTTACTCTCTAATTTAATTTGAAACCTAGCCCAATTAAGTTATGAATGAATATTGAGCCATGTGTAACAACAGTGCGAAAGAATTACAATTTTGATTTTTTGAAGCATATGGTTGCTTCGGAGGTGGGCTGCGATGGTTGGCCCATGCGTCCATAACCCAAAGGGCATCACGGTTGCCAATACACGTCGTTTAAAGAAGGGAATGTGATTAATTTCATTTAACTACCAGATAGAAACGACATCGTATTGAAGCTTGAAGCATGTTTTGTGTCGAAGACATCACGAGAACCAGGATGCGAGACAGAGCTGACAGAGAGAGAAGAAACAAAGAAAGAAAGAAAACCCCAACAGACAACTGAGAAAATCGAAGGGCTAAACTGCCACTAATATGGGCGTTGGATCGATTTTCGACGGTCCTGATGTAAGGGCAGAGTTTGAGAAAGCAGGCATCAACACTCACTTCATTCCCTTTATTTGGAAGTAAGTAATTATAAGAACGCTGTTTTTTTCCTTCTTTTTTTAAAAAAAATTAATGTCACTTGATGTTTTTTTTTTTGGATTGTTTAAGGTATGTGATTAAGAACCCTAATTGTGAATGGGATGAAATACCCGATTTACCCTCATCTGCATACTCACTTTTGCGTTCCAAGTTCAAAACTTCTGCTTCAAGTGTTGACTCTGTTATTAACTCTAATGATGGGGTCACCACCAAACTTCTCGTTAAGCTTCGGGTACTGCTCTACTGACTTCTTTGGCTTCATTGTAACTCTGATGATATTTTGTTTTACTGAAAATATAAATTAAGATGAGTTTTAGGGTTGAAATTGTGTGTGTTTTTATTGGGGCTGTTATTGGTCTTTCTTGATCTGGGTTTACTTTATGATGATTAATCATTAGAATGGAGCATTTGTGGAGGCGGTGATTATGAGGTATGACACCCGGTTGGGGAAATATTGTGGGAAACCCCGTCCTGGTGGTCCAAGATCGACTTTGTGCATATCATCTCAGGTATGAATGTTGTATCCGTGTTTATATATATATATATATATAGAAATGTAGCCTTGCAAAGCTGTAGCATTTTTTGCATGTATATGTGTGACTTGAGCCGATTCAAAACTTTATTGACCAGACAATAGCCTTCCACAGCAACATTGCTTTCTCTTTTTACGGGAAAGCAGAGAATTTGAGTCATTGTTCATTTCTAATTCAGTGCATTGATTTTAAGATGAAGCTTGGCTTGTGTTTGATTTGAGTCATCTCTTGTCCCTAATTTTAATCTGTAGGAAGTTTTACCTTTGATCTCTTGTGTCTCCTTGCTTTTGTTGGTTTATGCATTTAGGCGCTGCTCATGCACAATGTTTGTTTTAACCTCTTTTCTTTTATTGTAGGTTGGATGTAAGATGGGTTGTAAATTTTGTGCAACTGGAAGTATGGGATTCAAAAACAATCTGTCGTCGGGAGAAATTGTTGAGCAATTAGTTCATGCCTCTCGTTTATCACAAATACGGAATGTTGTTTTTATGGTCAGCACCCCCCCCCCCAAAAAAAAAAAAAAAAAAAAAAAAGAAGCCATTTCCGAGCCTTTATATTGGTCCAAAATGAGGTTTGAAATTGAGTCTAAATTCTTGATTTTCTGTTATGTGACTAGGGCATGGGGGAACCACTGAATAACTACTCTGCCTTGGTGGAAGCAGTACGTGTTATGTCAGGAGCTCCATTTCAGCTATCTCCAAAGAGAATAACTGTATCAACAGTAAGTGCACTGACATTGTTTTCGCTTGTCTGCTATCACCTTGTCTATTTTATTCCGGAGCCCCTTGCTCCATAGCCGTTGACTTTACTAAATCATTGCCCTGCTTTTCCAGTAGAATTTGAAAGACTGGGCCCTCGTTGCCCACACTTTTCTGGATATCATCCTCAATTATCACATATCGTCAAGCCTGTAACGTTTACAATGTTCTATGTTTCGAGATTTGATGAAACCCATGATTTCTTAACTAAATCTATGACAACTGTTTCTTTTACCTTATCATTGTTGTTTTGTCATCTTCATCTTTGTTGTTTCCTTCTCTTGGCCTGCTCATAACTTGGAATTGAAGAATCTTGGGTGGTTAAGCTTTTTGATTTACCTTACTTTAACATATGAATATATGAAAATGCAATTTTGTGCATATGAGTTGATTTTTAATTTAGTAAACGGGATCTTGTAATGGTCCTGTTAAGCACACAATTTGTAATTTTGGAAATGGAATGTTGTGAGGACATCATATGTAGTAGTCGAGACAAGATTCCTTATATTATCATTTTTTACTGTTTGTTTTTATCTCTTCCACTTTTATTTGATATATTTGACATGGATTTCATAATCTATTAAACTCGAACTGTTCCTAAGGAGAAGTATGTAGTTAGGTTGAAATTTTTAAATTGGTTTATTGAATGCAGGAAAATTTGACTTACAAGCGTACCGGTTCAATCTAATCTTCTGTAGGTTGGAATAATTCACGCTATCAACAAGCTTCATAAAGATTTACCTGGATTGAACCTGGCAGTGTCCCTACATGCACCAGTTCAAGATGTTCGCTGTCAGATAATGCCTGCAGCTCGGGCTTTCCCTTTGGAAAAACTCATGGATGCTCTGCAAGCATATCAAAAGAACAGGTAAAACTTTGCTAGTCTTATATTTCTGTAATTCATTTCTAAATTACATGTCTTTGCAACTTGTTTATCTCACAGCTGGCCTTTCAATTTTCAGTAAGCAGAAGATTTTTATTGAGTACATAATGCTTGATGGGGTGAATGATGAAGAGCAGCATGCCCACCAGCTAGGCAAATTGCTTGAGACATTTGATGTGGTGAGCTCTTAAATTTGAGTTTAAGCACAAAATTTTTATATGTAATGGTGCTATATGTGGAACTCTATAACAAGGCTTGAGATCTGGTTTTGTTGCTTGCTGAGTGTCAAAATCTTTAAGGCATAGAAAAACTGTACTTGCAGAATAGGGAGCGAGTCCTAATTATCTAAGAACAGCCTTTCATCTTGCAAACCAATTTAATTTTGAGTATTATCTCTAAAGAAATTTCTACTGACTTGCACCCAATGAGCATCTGCATATTCTTCTGTTGCTCATAACTATCTTTTTTTGTCATTCATGAATCGTGATAGTTTCGATGTCACTTCGCAGAACCTACTTTTCTATTGGGTACAGATTCACATCCCATTTTATTATTCATTGACTGGGAGTTTACTATGGGTTAGAAAAACATATTTTGATGGAGAACCAAAACACCTGGAACCAGTCAGAATTATAAGTACTTTCTAGATCACTAGATTGAGGAATTTAAGCAAACCCCAGTTTATAATTGTTAACTCAAATCGTAGTATTTGAACTTCTCTCTTGAAGAAAAGAAACTCTCACAGGATGGAACACACCAAAAAATTTGTTTTAACTTTCTAATTTTGCTCTGGTGATAATGACTGGCAGGGTTAGTGGATGAGGTTCATTATGATGTTTATGAACCTAAATTCCCAACCATGGACATACCTTAATGGTTTTAAGGTATGATGAATGACAATGAAAGATTAGGTAGCCTGAATTCCTCTAAAGGAATTTAGTTACACTCATTTCATAATTTTCATCCAGCTTACAATTTGAATGCTCTGTGGCCCAATGTCTTTTATGAGTTGTCCATTTGCATTATTGTTGTCGCTTTCACTTATCTTTGCTCATGTTTTCAGTTGTGATTTCATAACTATTGTTAGCTTCAAGCTACTTGAATATACAATTTCATTCCCATTCAACTTTTTTACTTTCCAAGCAGGTTGTGAATCTGATACCTTTCAATACAATTGGTAGTCTGAGTCAATTCAGAACCAGTAGCGAAGAGAAAGTGTTGAGATTCCAGAAAATTCTTAGAGGTGTAAATAACATCCGGACAACAGTTCGTAAGCAAATGGGTCAGGATATAAGTGGTGCTTGTGGTCAGCTGGTGGTCAACTTGCCTGATGAGAAGAAGCCTCCAAATTTGGGTGTAACTGATATTGAAGACCTTGTTTCACGTAGATGAATGAATTAGTCGAGGTTATATAGTCACACATTGTGGAAATTGTTTTCAAAAGGAGGCCATGCATGGATAAAGTTCTAGTTGCAGTGTTGAGGTTCTTGATGATTTTTCTTGGTATTATTGAAAATATGATCAAATCGCTAGCATACTGTGTGAGAGAAAACTTGTAATACATCTACGGAGACATCTCGAGTCCGAGTAGCTGAACCACCACAAGTCCATGGAAACGAGCATGTTGATTCCATTCATAAACCCTGCGGTTGCCTGCCGGATGCAGCTCCACGATTCAAAACCTGCATGTGTGAATCTTGAGGGGTCATGGTCGGGTCAAGATCAATGTGTTTGGACCGAAATTAGAGCCTGACCTCACTTTTGCCGAATCGTATCACACTGCCATTTCAAAATCAAGACAAGAAATTACCAAAGGTATTTTACCACAATTTTAATAAATGACTTTGTACGCATGAAATACTTGCCGCGCCCCCAGCGGCTGTGCGCCTTCTGCAAGGATCTCGAGTTCAAATCCCCTTTGAGACCAGGAAAAAAAAAAAAGAGGTACAGTAAACGTCTCCAAAATGCGCTCAAAACGATATGAGCCATGAGGAGGCACAACATTTAAATATTGATAGTGTCTCATTTGAGGAATGAATTGAAGAACAGCATTTTCAGAGTGCTAATTAGATTGGTAGATAACTGTTTGTTGAACCGTGAAAAAGAAATCACAAGAGCAATGTACTCCAATCCACCATCTCCGCGCTCAAAATGTCTGGATAGGGGAAAACGCCAACACAAAAAAAGAAAAAAAAAAAAAGAACTACGTTATGCAGATCAGAAACTTCACGCCATCCTCCTCTGTATTCCTATGAAGCCAAGAAAGAGTCTTCGATTTTCGCAATTTGATCCTCTTCGTTCTTGGTGGTTGGACTCCTGTTAGCATCATCAAAGAAATCATGCTTCCATTTCTCTCCTTGCATGACACTTGGGCGGTGACCTTGCCTCTCACTGAATCTCCCTCTTCCCTATAATTCCCACCACCATATCTTTCTCTTGATGGACGGCCACCTCTCAGCATGTCTCCTCTATTTCCAGCAGCTGGCCTCTCAGATCTGTCTATATGGCGAGGGATGTGGACTCTTTCCTCCCTACTTTCACTGATGGACACAGGACGACCAGAATGGCTTGACGTTGGAGGCTCCACACTTGCTTTGTCAGGATTGTCAGTCGTCCCTGGAATCTTCTTCTCCCTAAACGCAGGTCTGTTCCTCCCATGTGGTGGTGGCTCAGTCTCCATTTTCAAGTAACCATCAAGGTACCATATACTGGTCATCTCCCTTACCTCGTGGCTTCACCTCTCGTTGCCGTGAATCATAAGCTGCTGGCCTGTTTGCTTCCCTTTCGTCCCGATCATCCTTTGAATCCCTATATCGACATTCTTCAAAAGAAAAGAACACTGGAACAGTGAGTGAACATGTTTGAAGAGAGAGAGAGAGAGGGAAAAGAAACTAAACATAACAAGTCAAAGAATTAGGAGTCCTGCAAGTGAAATCAAAAACGCACCAGCAGCAGCTCTCCTGCCAGAGCTTCGACCAGCTTGCCCGGCTTGCCCGGCTTTACCATGCTCATTGTGCTGTTAAAAGAGATGCACAGGCAAGCCTAATATGTTATATACACGGAAAGTTTCGAAGGTATAGGCCGGACAACAATCCTGCTATATCAGCCCAGAAAAAAAAAGGTTTGAATACACTGAATAAAACACCAGTAATTAAGATTGAAAGAAATACTGCTCATTTACTACTGCAAACAATCAATTACGTAAATGCAAGACTCTAAAACCTATTTTCATCAAACAGCACAAATATTCATAGAGACTAGCTACTACTGTATTAGAGATCCATCTTGCCCAAAGAGCGCAAATGTAATACCTCACCCGGCTCCTTCCAAATTCCAATCACTGAAAGAACTCATGCAACACATTAGCTTCAAAACATCTACGATACAGTCGATTTGTCAAGAAAGAAATCAAAAGAAGGTGCTGTTTTTAGCAAAGGTTGAATTTGACTGAAGAAAATAATCATTACAAAGACAACCATTAAGATACTGTATACTATGAATAGCATTTCATGAAAGCAGAGAAACAATACCAAGCCTCTAAGTTCAATGATACAAACTCAAATCTTCAATTTCCATAGGCACCCAAGCATACCTTAGCTTTTCTGAACTTAGTATCTCTATTGTGACCTCCTATTGGATAATGACATTGACACACCCAAAAAAATTCAACAAAATGCCAACAGTAACTTCAAAAAAAAAAAAACCTGAAAGTAAGATCGAGAACGAGGTATAGCAGTTGGGTTGGAAGAACGCTTGCTTCCTTCACTATGTCCATTTGGTTTCTTGTCCGTTTCTTTTCTCACACCACCCAGACTCCACCTTAGCAGAAACGGGTTCTAAAGGAGCCTCAAGAGGTAATGCATCTTGCAACCGGCGCCGGTTCTTTGGATCCAAATTAGAGTCAGTTGTTACCCTTTCTGTCTCTGGTTTTCCATCTCTCCTGCCTCATAGGACTTTAAGAAACCAAACATCCCATAAACATCATATTCAAGTCACAAAGGCCATGTTTGGTTCTATAAAAAAAAAACCCACTTCATGAATTAAGTGATCCTTTAATTTTCACTGCGTAGGAAAAAATGAAGAGCATCCAAACACTAAGGCCATCGTTGGTTCAAACCAAGAAAACCGACATCATGAATTGCAGTCACAGATTAAGTATCACTGTAGAGAAACACAAAGCAGGGCGTGCATTATATTAAGGTCATGTTTGGTTTTATCAAAAAGAACCCAACACCTAAAAACCCTGAGAGATTACCTGGATTCTCTGTTGAAACCTGAACGGTGTCGTTTAGAGACAGAATCGCGTTCTCGACGATACATCGTGTTATGGAGAGGGAAAAGATAATAGAACAGGGAATTATGAGAGAAATACTGTGAGGATGTCCCCTCTGGATAAGTTGCGGAGGATACCGTTAAAATTGATTTGTGATCTTGGTGGGCTCCACGATTGGGCTCCTACAACTATGGAGCTGACTTGGTTTTATAAGAAGATGGGTTTGGTATGGTATTAATGTTTGTAGTTATGATTTAAAAAAATTATTTTGTATAAGTAGTTTTTGTTTGATATTGGTTTAATATTTATATATATTTATTTAAAATTATGATTGAAATTGAAGTTGAATAAAAAGTAGTTTAAAATATTTGGTTAAACATATTTTTTAAATTGAGGTTATAAAATAACTAAAAAAATATATATTAATATTAATAGTTTTAATTTAAATATTGTATATTTAACTACCATTATTATATCAAATATTTTTTATTATTTTATTAATTTATCTATAATTTCATCACATATAAAATTCATCTGGTAAGTACTATAATTTTCATGGTTTTTTTAGCGTACAATAAAATCAGGTAAAATATCATCAGAAACAAATTGGAATTGCAATCAAATTTTACAAATGCTACATCATCATGCGATGTTCTTCTAATTTACGCAGTGTTATTAAATAATATTAAACATTAGTTTTTTAAGTAAAACATAATTTTTAAAAAAAAAAATTACCTGGTCGGGCGCAATCCAATGAATGCTATTCACGTGAACAATGCCACGTGAAATTTACTTGACACTATTCACGTATCATTTTTATCTTATTAATTTTTAATACCTTACTTGTTCAATAATTAATCTAAATTTATGTTATATAATACTTGGTATAATAAATGTTTGGCACGTTCATAACCAATAGTATGGTATAACATACACATGTGCTATGAAAAGGAACTTTATTTGTTATTAACATAAGTTAGCATCATGAATTCCTAATAATATTTAAAATTTTAGTGTTACTTAAATAAGATAGTTAATATGATCATGTTAATAATTTATAATGAGTTATTAATAACAAATCATCCTATTGAAACCTCATTTATGTATGGTTTTCAGTTGAGTAATAAAAGAAATTTATATTATACTTATTTGAAATACTATTAGTGAATTCTCTAACCTTGACAACTATTATTATCTTTTTTAATCTTCACATCAACCTTACATCTTAAAATCCTCTTTAACTCATCATCATCATTATTATTATTTATAATTTATATAGTTAACCTCCTTGTGGTTCGACTCTGGTCTTGCTGGGTTATTTATTATTTCGACACTTATGCACTTAAGATAAGATATCAATCTTTTGATCATGTTAATAATAATTAATAAATGTGTACATGCATGTTGAGCTTTCGATTTCCATATATAAAAGTTAAAATTCAAAATCAAGAAACCAAACATTTGAAGTCTATTACAAAGTGAACTTTTCACCTAACAATATTTAATGTTAATAAGCTGAAAAACTACAAAGTTCTACAATTCAACTACTTAGTAACAAAAATACATAAGCAACATGACATAATTCCAATAATAACTACAACATAAAAAGTCCAAGAAATTTCACAATGGAATAATAACAAAGATAAATAAAATTTTACTAAAATTATTATGTTGTCAACAACATACAACACAAACAAGACATTAAAGGCTGTAATGAATTCAATGTTACTTTCTTAGGCCATGTTTATTTTCCCTAATTGTAAGCATTGGCAAAGACCAAAAGCTTGGATTGTTGAATTAAACATGCTACTTTTAACAAATGAAAAATGACATCGACAAGTGGTTAACATAGTTTATTTAAGAAATTAAAAACCTTGTGTTCAAAGAAAGAAATTAATAAAAACACATTGCAATTACCTATATTACCTATTATGTAAAGACAACCCTTGTACTTCATACTAATAGCAAATAATTAGACAACTAAGTTATGATGATATAAAAATATTAAGAACTGATATTATGCATAAAAATTCAGTTTTACTAATATTTAACAAAATTTAAATGATATAAATAGGATAACAAGTTAACACTTGACATTTTTCATCTATGGATTTCTTTGTTGATCGAACATTATTTTTAGCCACGAGAATTTCCTATTAATAAATCCAATTGCAACCAACATCTCTCTCTTGCTTCTCACACAAAACAATTCAGTGGGAAAGGTATGCAATTCACAACTAAAGTTAACTTTATTTATAAAATACAGTTCTTTTATAATCTCCTTAACACTACATCTTTTTTTATCTCTAGAAGTTGATGTAAAATCGCTACTCATCAAAACACTCTCAACAAATCAATCTAAAAGTGCAAATAAATATGCTTTCATTCTAGATTCCCTTTTCATTTCATGATATTGAGGTGTAATATGTTATGCACTCTTTCTCTTAACACTACCATAATTGTTACTACTATTTGTGACATTGCATTCATTAATTATATTGCTAACATTATGTACAAAATTAAGAATTGCATCCTCTTTAGAATCACCATTTCATTTTTCTAGATTAATTTCATAATTATTCATATTTTTTTAATTCAAACCCCCATTATATCCATCAGATAACACTCCTTGCGAAGGAGTCCAAATATATTGTCCCATGACCACTATGTTACCAAATATAATGTCATGTTTGGCACACAACAAGGGCTCATTCCTAGCATGCCTAAAATTCTTTTCTCCTCTCATTTCCTGCGTAATGAAAATTGAATGTGGTTAACAATGCTAGAAGATTAATTAAATAATGCAACAACATAAATGAAATTATAAAGATAATAACAAATATAAATGACTTTGTAATTTTTTTTCTTGCCACCATTCATCAGTTACAAAAATAGTCCCAAGTTCTCTACTCCAACGAACTCCAATTTCAAATATTAGCTTTTTTTATACCCTCCGACCCTTTTCAATCTCATCCCATTTATTTTTAAGTTATACTTCTGTTAAAGAAATACCTATTTATTAAAGAATTCATGTATGGTAAATTTCTAGATAGCTTTATTAAAATAGGTGTTTGGTCTCATGCATCTCTCAATAACTTTAATGTAAATTTCACAAAACATATGTAACATTACTTTAGTCCAACAAGCTTTATCGTGTCAAACTTATCCATTACTATGTTTGATAAGGTAATGAAAAGAAAATAAATAATTACCTATAATGAAAAAACTTTAATGTCTAAAAGGGATGGGATAGGAAAATAAAAGTAAAAAATCCTACAACCTCCATAACATTTATTGATAATTCAAAAACCAACAAGATATAATAATGTGTAATTCATTTTCTTCATAAAAAATATTACACATTAAAGAAAAAATAAACAATAACAGCTGGGTCTCAACTTGCCATATATTGTTCATTTTGAGCCTTACCATCCTCACAGTTTTGTTCCTGATGATGCGAGCCCTCATCTGAGTCTAACACTCCAAAATACGTATGATAAGTTACAACCAACACTCTTAATAAGGTAAGCTATCAATCCATCACCTGTCGATATGGGATATGACAATCCAGCCCATTTAAAAAGCTCGATGACCTCGTGAGTACAATCGGACAGCCAGTGAGGTTGGCTATGATACCAAAAGTAACAGTCGGACCCAACTTGCCATAAATTATCTGCTTTGGGCCTTATTGCCCTCGCGGTTTGATTCATGGGTGACACGAGCCCACATCTGAGTCTGACACCCCAAAACGTGTATGATAAGTTGCAACTAGTACTCTTAATAAGGTAAGTTACTTATCCTTCACCTACTGATATGGGTTTTGGATTTTCATATCCCACATCGACGGGTGATCTCAATTTTTTTATGCCTTATGGTTTATGCTTGAAAAACATAAAAGATGAAGATTTGAATTGGTATATAATATTAACACATGAACTCCATCTATGTACTAATGAGCTAAACCTTGAGCTGATAAAAAATTACTCGACTTATTTATATTTCAATTAACTACCACTTGAAATAATGTTTTTTTTCCTCACAACATGAATATTTTCAAATTATTTTTCACATAAAATCTATATAAAATTAATGAGTGTTTATAGTTTAAGCTTAACCTTGTTTAAAGTTAATTCATTGAAGGGGATTTGATAAGCTACTTAACATGTCTCAACATTAAAGTTAACAAGTTGTCGTGTCAAACTAACTATTTGACTTATGTTTTACCATAAATTAGGTATTTTTTTAAAATAGATATGTATAGAATTTTTCGATGTGTTTTTCTACATATAAAAATCTTAAATTTAAATTAAAAAGCTTAACTAAGCATCTAATTAAATAAATTTAGAACCATTTATATAAATAAATGAAAAGGTTATTAACAATAACTAAAAATAAAATGGAAAAATCAAAAAACAAATGTAGACGAAAATATTTGATATCGCAACATGATATTTATTTAGTTGTGTTTGTTGAATTTGTTTATTATATCAATTGTTTTATTCAATCAAATGATAATAGAAATAGACATACATATTAAATTGATTAAATAAAATAAAAGATAAAAAATATTATGTAAGATTGTATATATTAAAAATATTATATGAAAAAAAATATTTTTTTTATTTTTAAAAATAAAGCTTATTTATATAAAAAATTAAAAAAATGATAGATGAGTCAACATAATATTATAAAAACAAATACACACAAAATAATTCAAAAAGGCTAAATAATATAGAAGGGATATCAAATGAAACATGACTAATATATATATTAAAAAAAACATAATAAAAAAAATATATTAGTTAAAAAAAAGGCCAAAAAAAGTCTAGCACGTGTGAGCTTAAGAGCTAGTACCATTGGCCTATTGCAAGGAAAAACCCAAGCACCCAAACCTGTATGTCTAGGTTTTGTTTAATTTTTTGTAAATTTTTTTAAAAAGACAGATAACCACCTTCAAACCCAATTTTTAAGTCATTTCAACCAAAAAAATATTGCTAATATTTTTGGAACACCTACAAATCAACTCATTTATTCAAAAAAAGATCTA